TTAATTATTTATTTTCTGTTTATTTCATAATATATATAAAAAAAAAAAATATATATATATATATATATATATATATATATTAGCGTTTTGTGCACATTATTTTACTTTAGTTGATATAATTTGTTATTGTTTTATTATTTTATTTAATTAATTTTTATTGTCAGATTTTAGAGCTCAATTTACACTAATTATAATTATGGCTTGCGAATTTGAGAATTAATGACGCTGTTAATCACAAATCAGTGTTTGGTGAGAAAATCCTTAAATGAAGATCATTTGAATGTCCTAAAAGAAGAAAATTGAAGACAATTGTTTTCATGTTTTTGTTGTTGTTGTTGTTGTTTTTTTAACAGGTCAAAGAGTGTGATTGTTTAATTTTCAAATAATGTATTCTTTAAATTAAAATTATGTATTTTTTATAATTTCATAAAAACTACATTATATATAATGAAGTGTATAAAAACATATTACAAGCATTTTTGTGCATATATTGTTAATTTATCTTAGTTGATATAAACTTTTTTTTTTTTTAATAATCTGCATTGAAGTATCCATGACACTGACATCCATGACACTCTCCCAACTGTACTGCAGTGCGAATTGATTCGTCCAGCACTGAAGCTCAGGTCTGCTCTAACTATACGGACCCTCCACCCCAATCCACCGCCACCGCTTTACTGTAAAAAGCCTTGATTAATTATTTACACTAAGTAGATGCATTTCCATCTCCACTGTGCCTACACTTCTAAACTGCTCTGCTTGAGGAGAGAGTCAGGCATAACAACCAGCTCTTTAGACATTCAAGAACAACACTGAGAGTTTGTTTACAGCATTTGAAAGGAGAGCCTTTCTGATACTCCATAACACCCTTCAAAAACTTTACAAGAGTTTTGAGTCTCTTAGTGTATGCTTGTGTAATCGCTGTTTGTGTTTTTTTGGCACTGGATATGAATTACTACTGGGGAAAATGATTCATAGATGCATTGTGATTTCTTTCTCAAATGATTCTGGAATGATTTTCAATTTATAATAGTTTGATAATTTAAATAAATTATTAATAATTGGTTATTTAAATGAAAAACAATTGTACTACATTACGGCTTTTAGGTAGCTAAAATTATCTATTTAAATATCTATTGTCAAAATTAGTACATGCAATTAATTTATTCAGTTTAACAAGTTAAAAATATTTAAAGGGGTCATATGATGTTGCTAAAAAGAACATTATTTTGTGTATTTGTGTGTAAAAAAACACATTATTTTCCACATACTGTACATTATTGTTTCACCTCTATGCCCCGCCTTTCTGAAGTGCATAGATTTTTACAAAACTCATCGGTCTGAAAAGCGAGGTGTGCTGTGATTGGCCAAGTATACAGTGCGTTGTGATTGGCCGAATACCTCAAGCGTGTGATGGAAATGTTACGCACCTTACCATACTGTGATGCCGTGTCCCGGCCGGAGCGACGAGACAAAAACATTAAAACCCATTACAAACGAGGCATTTGTTGCATCCAGTGGGGACATAATTACGGATTATAATGACTTATACTGTCTTTTTACGCGTTGCGTTACATCGCGCCGCGTAAACATAAAGCCATGTCTGCATTTGTGATCGAAGAAATGACAAACAACAAATGCTACTCTACACTGCTCAAAACTCGCGTTTGAATCGTCAGTGGCAAATCCTTTAAATATGAAAACGTACTTACAGTCTGTGAGTCAGAACAGCCGGAATTGTAGGCTACTCTACCAGGATCAGGAAACAGTCCTCCATAAAATGCTGCACACATCTGAATATTTGGGTTGAACTGTTCTGGAACAATGTTGTAAATACAACCTATCCACTGATTTCTAGTCGTGTCCTCTTTTGGAAGGCCAAACAAAGTAGTTTCGCTTTCACAACGAAACACACAGCGTCACACATGGTGGCTTAGAGTGAGCGGTGGCCGGCGGATTCGACGAAGGAGCGTCCGACGGGCTTGCAGCAACCACATGTGACGACCCCGGGCTGGACTCCGCTTCGTCCACGGTGAAAGCCGATCCGGCGATCCACAGCACGAAGTTGATGTATTTCCTCAGCGACCAGCATTAATCTGCTCCAGGCATGACGAGGCGATATCGTCCTCTTTTGGAAGACCAAACAAAGTAGTTTCGCTTTCACAACGAAACACACAGCGCCTTCACGACATGGCGGGGGCGGCAACAAAAATACTACAGCGAGAATAAAAGTTACACCTTCTTTCTTTGCGTGAACATTTGGGAGGCGTTATGCAAATCTTCCCACATCGTGATGTAGATATGTGGGGGCGTGTTAGAACGAGCCGTTTTAGGTAGGCGTGGTTGACTCTTAAGTTTTATAAAGAATATCTCTTTGGATTTGAGACTTTAGTCTTTGTAACGTTACAGATCTTTATGCACCAAGAGCTTGTAACACTCCAAAGAGAAAGGAAAAATTGAAATCGCATCATATGATCCCTTTAACGCCTGAGGAGGAGCTAGGTTTGGCCACCCCACACACAGCTGCTGCTTCTGTTTTTCTTGACAAGAATAGCATTTCTTTAGATGCAGAACGTCTTTACAGCCACGTCAAACAGGATACTTTTCAGATGCACACTCCACTGCGCCTCAGCGACAGGCGCTAGTCAAACAAGCACGGAAACGGTACAGGTGACGAGGCAGCTTCAGTAGAACAACTGTGAATTGCGGTCAGATGAGATGTTTTCAGGCCATATGTCAGTAAAAAACTATTTTTCTGTCCTGTCAGCCATTGTACTGTGCTCATTGTGCGTGCTCTTCAATTGCACGCACAAATACAGCAGCGCGCACTGTAGCCTGGATCACTTTATATTAAAGCGCAAATGAAACTACAAGCATGCGTGTCAGATCTCGATCACGTTCAGCAGCGGTAGCTCTTAAGGTAATAGCAACCAAATAACCTAATAACCCAACAGCTGTGATGTCTGTTAATTAAAGAACAAAATAAAAAAGAGGAAATGAGTAACTTTTGTAGCTTTAACTTATCGTTTGGTAACTTAGAGACATCAGTAGTATTGGTATCAGTGATACTCGCCTTCAATCATAAAAAAGATGCTATTCAATTTAAATTAAATTCAAGTTTATTTGGTAGTTCATGGACCTCTGGGAACATCATATTTAATTTATTTTATTTATTTGCAATAAGATAGCAATACAAAGTAATACATTGCAATGTTTAACTTTAAAAAAAAAAGAATAATCTTAAGTAACCAACGATTTGCATCTTAAAAGTGTGGACACTTCAGCAAAATTTCGGCAACATTTTGTAGACAATTGTTAATAGTGTAAAGATGTAGCTTTCAAACCTAGAAGCTTTCTGTTAGCCAATTTGCATTACCAACTTGATCTTATTGCGAAACCTTTCGCCCTCACACAAAATTCCCAATCGCATGAATTTCTTATTAAATTACTGGATTTTGCTCACGAAAATTTGCCAAGTAACAGGAAATCTGACCACACATTTATGCTGTTACTGAGAACTTCCCACATATCAAGCAATGAGAATCAGTCTGGAATCGAATCGTGATTCTTTGAATCAAATGAATCGCAAGTTGCCTACAGGTTACAGATTGTAGGTCAGCAGAAATCAGATTTCCAAGTTTCCACACTCAGCTTGATTTTAGTCTTTGTTGTTGTTTATCATCTCAACCTCTTCATTCAGACTGGTTTTCCTCACACTGCTCATTCCGCTCAGCTCTGCTGGACAGTGTGGTGTGAATCTCCAGGCTCGCGAGGAAGAAGCTGGTCTATCTGGTAGTCATGGAGACCGAGGGTCGCCATGGACACCATGTCCGGCCTCAGTTCCTGTCTGTCCCTGCTTTCACAGAAGCCCCGCTCCTCCCCACCTCCTCTATTTTCCAGCACTAAACTGGGTCATTGCTATCAGACTCCATTCCTGAGATCAGATTGGTTGTGAATTGTCCTTGGGTCTTTTTCAGCCTGTTGCTTGAAGACTCGAGGGACACATTATGGGCCCACCAACGTCTGAACCCAGTTGAGCAGCGTGACATGGTTTACTCGAGCGAACAGGGTCACTCTGAGCCTCGGGACTTGTTTTTAGGAAACGTCATTAGATGTAATTGGGTTACACATTTGTGTCTTTGTCAAGGTTCCAGGCAAATAGAGAGAGACAGTGTTCAGAATAGCTACTACTATGATACTTGTGCTATTTTAGAAGTATGGAGAACATATTACTGGTGTTTTTATATCATAATGGTTGATTAT